GCTAAATAATGTGTGAAACGTTGGGCATGAGGCATTAGGGAGTGGAGGAGTCTGTGGCAAGCAGAGAGTCCACATCCTGCCCTGCTTAAAGGCATTTGGATTTGACAAAGCAACTTAAAACAGCCTCTCTGAAGAAAACCCATCTATCTCCAGCTTCAAAGGCTCTCTGTAGTGGCCAGCTATGGCTAAYAGGACCAAGAAGCCATTTTCTAAGTCACAGTGTTTTTTCTGACTTCTTTTCCAACTGTATGCTCAGGCTTGGGTATGTGCCTAACGCCACATCAGGACAGGAATACTCAACTGATCAAATCTAATTACATTTGCTTCCCGACTAAATTGTATATCACCTTCCCCTCTTGTGAGAGAAATGGCCCCTCTTGGGTCCTCAGCATCTGATTATTGCAAACCTAATTGATTTGCGACATTTCATTAATAAAGTTAACTAAAACTAATTATCCATATTGAATAAAAGTTTCCTCTGAAATGAATTTTTCTATTTAGCTTAAGGGTTCTTAATTGTTAGAATGAATTGCTCAGAAAGATCACAGAATTCCTCTCTCTTGGGAAATTGAGATATACATTTTTCCCCCAACTAATTTGGATTGATGGACAGTGATATCACAAAAGCTTGAAAAAAAATTGATTAAATGTGAAAGTTGAAGGAATTGAAGCATCTTTCTCCGAAGACAAAATAGATCACGTGGATCTCTTTATGGATCTTCTTCACGTTAAATTAGGTCTATTAAATTGGTCACATTACCTGAAGGAACCTAAATTAAAAATTTATTTTCATTCATTGTTTTATTCATAGTGCAGATTTCCTTTCATTTCACTGGTACGTACATGTTGTATTTTTCACTCTTTAATTCAGATGGTTTGTTTTGTCTGATTCATCCATCTAATTAAATCTCAGTTTTGGCGGAAGTCCAGGGGGAGTCTCCTATGCCTTCAATAGCTGGTACACTGCAGGCCAATTTCCAAAGGATGCTTTGCAATGTTCTTTGTGTGTTAGGCTGTGTATAAACACACTCTATGCAAAACAAAGACTGGTATTCCTTACTGGCAAGCGTTAAGTAGGACGTGGCTGGCCCTCTGATGGTGTACAAAGATGCTGTCCATCACACGAGCCTTTGTGGCCATCTATCATGAATGACCGACATGGGCCTTGTTTTCACTTTGCCCAAGCAGAGTCCTTGCTTGCATTGTTAAGGAAGACATCCCCCTTTCACCTGTTCTGCATGCTAACCCCCTTGGAGGGACCCGGAGGCAGCAAAATGCCTGCCTATTCCTCTTTGACTTGGGAGCATCACTGAGTAGCAAACTACAGACTCTAGATCAAAAGACAGCTCTTACACTCTGGTGCATTTTATCTACCATGGCCCCACTGTGCCTGGAGCCCATGCTGTGTGCAGAAGCATCCTGCCTTGCCTGAACTTGAGGAGGAAGAACCCTGCTTCTGGTTGGATTTGGGGCTTGCACATCACATTGTTCCAGGTGATCCAGGGCTCCCTGGGTGAGTCTAACACATATTTACATTCAGGAAAGACATCAAAGGACTACTTCCAGATAACCGGTTTCCTCCCACCAGGTTTTAATTGTACAATTACATTTGTAAGATATTTTAGACTTTTCTAGAATTTTTTTAAAAAAATGACTCCTGTAAATCTTCTAAACTTTAAGTCTTCAAGGGAAGGCCTAAGAAGTAGGAGGGAGAGGATGACCTCACTGCTGGTACCAGCTAACTGTCCTTCCTGCCAGCAAATCACAGCCTTTACACTCAGAGGCTCATTGCTCTGAGTCTACTAATTGTTAAAAAGTAGTAATTGCAATCTGTCTGGAAGTGGTATCTCCTAGCCACATTATTTAAGCAAAAGAACAATTTTACCATAGATAAACTGTGTGGAATAGTTTATTTAGAGTAAACTTGTTTATCCTTAAAACAAATTATATTTTTGTTTATTAAACACAAATGGCTAACCTTTACCTTGCTTCCCCTGCCCTCCCCCATCATTGGTAAGATTCTGGTACTCATATTTTAAAACCCTAAGCTGTGCCCAAACTTCTACCATTTATGTTTTCATTGAAAAGGAAATAAAAGGAAATGGATACAGGGAATATTGGCTGGATATTTATATTCCTTTCTCACAGCTAGCTCTATAGTTATTTCAAACCCTCGTATGCATCAAAAACTCAAAGACAAATGTGTTTCTAATTTTTTTGCCTTGTGTAACCATTAGTCTAGGAAACAAACTTAACTGATTTGCTGGGTCTAAGTAACTGGAAAGAGTCTGACATTGCTGTTTCACGAATGGGATCACGTTAGTGGGAAGACGATGACTATGAACTTCAAGATAGACCATAATAGAAGGTGATTACAGTAATTAGAATTTGTAACACTACTGTTGGATCTGTCATCCATCCATCCATCCATTCGCCTATCTATCCATCTCTCTCTATTCCACATAAAAACAGACTTCTAATTTCATGTACATGTCCATCAAACAAAGAAGTGTTACGTACTTATTTTTTTGGCTCTCCAAACTGTTTAAAAAACACACTTTATTTAAGTTGATACAATTGAGACCCATCTGTCATTGTAGGAAAACCAATTTTCTGGAAGCTCTGCTTACTTGGAGGTGATAGGGACATAGATAAACAAGGTAACTGCCATGTACCCCAGTCCTCAGCTCCCTGTAACTGTAGGTGCCTCTTTTCAAATATTGAAGAAATGGAGGACTTTAGAAGAGTACATAAAATACTAACTCCCTTATATTTAAATATGCAAACAGATAAGAAAAGGTAAAAGGCCTGGGAGAATTATGTCCTAGGTAATAAATACAACACCTAGGAAATCAGAATTTCAGAACTCTTTTAAAATTTCCAAGTAAGTTAATACTAGTATGCAACTTTCCCACCAAGTGGCAGCGAGAAAGTCTACCATGTTATTAAATCTGCTTAGAGCAGTCCTTGCAACAGAGCTTTCTAGGCGGACAGAAAAAGTTCTACTTCTCCACTGTCCACTAGCTCCCAGTGTCTACTGGGCATTTGAGATGTGGTTAGTGCAACTGAAGAACTGAATTTCTAACTTTATTTAATTGTAACTAATTGATATTTACACTTAAATAACCACCTATGGCTAAATGGCTCCCATACCAGAAGGTACAAATGCATAGATGTTAAGCCATCAAGTATGGTTCTTATTCTTTTAAATGTAGTAGTCAGGTTTTCTCCATTTACTGTAACTAGATTTCAACATAAATTCTTTGGACCTATAAAACAAGGTCTGAAATGCTGTTTGCACATCCCTGGCTTAAATCAATGAGAGATCAGAGTTCGGTACTCATAAACTGGTGAAAGTTTTAAAGGGATGTCACAGAGCTCAGCACAGCTTTCCACTAACACTGTTTCAGTACAGGGGATGGGGCCTTGGAGAGTACGTCACAGGAAGCGGAGGACACAGTTGCTATTTAGTGGTAGGATTGGTATAACAACGGTTTTTAAGCAAACAAAAATCCAGCTTTTTAGAATGAAGTATGTTTTGCTTACTCATCTGAAACTCAAAGGTTTGAAGAAGTTAAAAAATTTGAAGTATGTTTTCTTCAGTGTTTTGTTTTTCTTAAGCAAAACATCATGATATTTTTTGGAGGTTTTGCCACAAATGTGTGACTTGGAAACAGAAGACTTTGGAAATATAGGAGAAGGGAGGTAGGACCAAGAATCACTCCCTGGATTAACCCTCTGGCTTCTATGACAATAGGGCTGATCAGGTGTCTTGTAGAAAAAGCTACTTCTGTCCAGTACTGTTAAGAACAGGTTGTCTTACAATTTCCCCAATAATGTAGTTTTACTGCGCTGTTTCTAGAACTGAATTTTGTCTGAAAAAAGACAGCCCAAACCTCAAGCTTATTAAAAAAAAAAAAAAAAAAAAAAAAAAAAAGCACACACCTGCACACAAACACACCACAAAAACCTAAAGATACCCAGTGATGGAACTGTGTAGAATGTGACTATTTTTATCTCCAAGATTAAAGCAGTCCTAAATAGTTTCCTAACACTACTACCATGGAGTGCCTTCCAAAAAGTGTTTCCTACATGCCAACCTGGCAAAGAATACAGCCACTTCTAATATTTATCTACCCAACTTCTATTTTGATGAAACAGAATCACAGCATATTCAGAATGGTACAAGCTACTTTTTCAATTTCCCTATAGACGGGGGTGGGGAAGCTGAAAGCTTGCTCTTTGAGTTGAGGGTTTTGGGCTCCCCCACCCCATGACTTGGATAAATTAAGGATTCCTTTTGGGAAAAACACCAGACAGGTCCATGAGACAGGAGTTGGGCAGAAAAGGGCAGACCTAGCCAACTGAGCTAGTAGTCTCTGTGCAAATTCTGAGAAATCTGCCTTCTGCTATGGGACCCCATATTATCCCTGCCTGTCGCAGAGTGGGGCTCAATAGCAGGGGGCTTAAGGAGGGCCCTCCAACTCCAATTTCATATCCTCCCCCTGCCCGGCCCCACATCCTCTCATTGGAGTAAGAGAGAAGTTTGTAAGAATGAGACTTTGAAACATGAGATTTTGCTGAAGGTGAACAGGCTTAAGCAGGTCACATCTTTAGACTTCTGGACGTGAGGACTGGTGCATTCCAGCACAGATACTCCACTAGGCAGCTGATAAGAGAGCACAATCATTTTCCTGCTGGCCCTTGGAGTTCTAACCAGCAAGGACACTACTGATCCAAATAATTACCTGTGGCCATAAAGTGTCTTTGCCAAGGAGTTGCAAATCTCTCACATGATTTATCAGCACATGTGGAAATACCTTGGTAATTCAGACTGTTTACATTTAAAGTCATATAAATACATATAATCTTAATCTGTATGTTGGAAGGGATGCAAGAAGACTTTCTCTTATTTCTTTCACAGAACCATGGTGTGTGGATTCTTGTTAATTTCTTAAGAAACCTACTGATGATACAAGCTGTAGATGCCGGATGCTTACCTGATGGCCTCTTTCTTGGGATGGTTTCAGTGACTTATTCAGATAAAATCCCATTCATTTGGGACCAATCTCTCTTGTATTAAATCTGGAAAGAAAAGAAAAAGATTAAAGTGATTTATGAATGTGGTCAGGTTTTTATTTTTTAATTCACAAAGTAAGTATTAACACTGCATATTAAGAATGTTTTGGAAGGGAATGGAATCATCTGTTCCACCTCAAGAACATTTTTTTCTTTATTTAGAGTCAGGTGGTACCAGGCAGCTATCAGGGGATCCCATTTTTCTGTCTGCTCATGGTCAACAGCAGCTTTCTCAATTTCTCATGGACACACACCAGAGAAAGAAAAACAGAATACTTTCTGGTAAAATAATGTAATCTTATTCTAAGATGGTGCTATAGACACGACTACTAAATAAAAACTCTATGATGGTTTTGATTTTTGCTTATGAACCTAGAGTTAAGCTTACCTATGTGATTTTTCTAGTACAAAGTTTATACAAGTGTTATTTCACCATAATTAAAAAAAATACCCTTGTAAAAGATCTTTTGTTCTGTTTTTCTTTTTCACAGATAGAATATTCGTCTGTAGTTTAAATGTTGAGTTATAGAAGAATATAAAATAAAAGTAATCATCTATCTCCTTATCCTCTCTAATTTTGTCTCTGGAATCACCTCCTAGAGATAAGGACAACTAGGAAATTGTGTATCCTTTAGGACTGTAAAAATGAATGTATACACATGTAAATGTGTATATTTATGTTGTTTCTTTTTATGCATTTTACTCTGCTTTTTGCTGTCTTCATTTGTTAATTTTGCTTAATACTATGGCTAACAGAACTTCCTATATTAGCATTTATAAATCTACCTCATTCATTTGATGACTATAGTATTTCATTTGTTGCAGCGCTACATGATACTTTATTTAGCTATTCTGTTATTAATGAGCCTTAAAGGCTTTTTTTCCCCCTCAATTTTCCTTTTGGCTGCTAAAAAATATTTTTTTTTTGTTTTCAGCAACTATGTATTCAAACTTTAGTATGGTAAGATTGATGAATTTTGGCATGAGAAGGACCTACTAGCAAAAGGCATTGTCTGTACGGTGGCTTCTTCCATAAAATACTAAGATGTTATAAAAACTACAGGCTGTTCTGTGGAACCAAGAAAAAAATAATGCTAAGTGAAGTTAGCCATTCCCCCCAAAAACAAATGGCGATTGTTTTCTTTGATATAAGAAGGCTGATTCCTAGTGGGATAGGGAGGGGGAGCATGGGACGAATAGATGAACTCTAGATAGGGCAGAGGGGTTAGAGGGGAAGGGAGGGGGCATGGGGTTATTAATGGTGGCAGAATGTGATGATCATTATTACCCAAAGTACAGTTATGAAGACATGAATTGGTCCCTGAATATATACTGTGTACACAATCAGAGATACGTAAAATTGTGCTCTATATATTAAATAAGAATTGTAATGCATTTTGCTGTCATATATTACAAAAAAATAAAAAAGAATATAAAAAAAGTAAAAACAACTATGGGCTGTTTGGTAAGACTATAATATACCTTACGAAAAAAATTACAGAAAGGGTCAGATTTACAGTACCATTCTCCAGAGAATTAATGATGAAATCCAGAGTGAGTTATAAGGAAAGTAACAGAAATTATAAGACACATAGTGAGAAGTATGAAGTAAAAGGGATTCCTTATAGAAAATTCAGAAGTCATGTGGAAAAAAAAAGGAAGAAAGAAGGAGATCAAACCTAAAATTAATAACCCTCAACCATTTTTAAGATTTACTGTATATTTTCCTAATCTTTCTTTTCTGCTCCACAAATATGCAGGCATTATATATATATATATATATATATATATATTTGTTGTTGTTGTTATATATATAACAAAATTACTTTCATTATGACACTGAGAACCCATATATTAGACTTTTTTTTTTGTGGGTGGGCCTGTACTGGGGATTGAACACTCAGGGACACTCAGCTATTGAACCACATCCCAGCCCTATGTTTTATTTTATTTAGAGACAGGGTCTCACTGAGTTGCTTAACACCTCACTTTAGCTGAGGCTGCCTTTGAATTCCTGATCCTCCTGCCTTAGCCTCTGGAGCTGCTGAGATTAGAGGTGTGTGCCATCACACCTGTCTCCATGTCAGACTTTAAAGACAACTTGACAAGAACCTACACACACACACACACACACACACACACACGGTAATACTTATGATTTATGTTCTGTACATTGCTTTGTTTACTTATATTTAACTTTGTCACTAAATATTATTAAATTCATAAAATATTACATACTTATGCAGAATGTACTTATATAAAATATAGGCTGACTGTATAATTTTCTACCATGTGGCTCAAAAACGTGGCTGCTTAGTCCTGTTGGTGTACTTTTTCTGTCAGCACATCAAAGGGCAAAAGAATCATCACAGATTCTCCCCATCCTGATAAAAYGGCAGTGACAAGACATGTGAAGGTTATGGGCTGGGAGACATCACTGTGCAATGTGTTGTASGTGAAGTGACATCATTCGAATGGAAAGAGTTTATTACATTTGGGCTAATGGAGCATTCTTGTTCTAGAGGCTACTGTGCAGATTTAGAAGCATATCAAAATGCATGGGAATCAGAAAAAAAAGAAGAATTTGGGTCAAAATGTAGGGAAAATGATTAGTGATAAGATTGCAAATGTATGAAATTTACTAGAAGAAATTCTATGAGATTTTTCAGTCCGTTTAGGAAAAAACACTGGTGCAGATTATATGAAGCCACAACCACAAATGTTTGGGCTTGGTGAAACCAGTGGGATTCTAAATGGCCATTGGGAATGACCATTTGTACTTTTCCTTTGTCAGCACTATGAAACTCTGTAAGATATCTCCTGGGCACCATTTCCCCTCTGCAGCCCTGACCATAGGGCATGAGAGCAGCCCTGGGTTGATTTTGCCCTAACCTGTAACTTAAAATTTAGACATTACGGTTAATGCCATTCAAATGTCTAGGGTTCTAGATCCAAGCAGCTGGTGAGATTCTGTCTCCCAGAGATGTGCCTTCATCATTGAGAAAGCCATAGCTCCTATTGGCACCCCTCTAAACTCAAACTCAGTCTTAGGGAACCCAGACTTAGTTTAGTCTTCTGACAAACAGCAATGAGCCCCTGTCAAAACAAGAGACATTTGGTGGAACCTATCTGACAACTGTCAATCTGCATACACTGGGATCTATAGTTTAGGGTCTGACTAAATTATGTGGAGAGTCACTGGTTTCAAATAAGTTCCCACTTGCCTGGGGATAGTTTGCTTCAAAGCTATAGTCAACTCTGGTTTTATAAACCATGCTTGTGGTAAATAAGCATTTATATCAAAGACTGAAAAAGTAATACATATTTGAGTTGGAATCCTGAACAGTATATCTAACTGGTTCAAAAGATAACATTTTTTTTTCCTAACATCAAAACACCAAAAGTTCAAAAGTGAATTCTGGGAAAATAGAAATATATCAAGAGTTAATTTTTGACATTATGTTATCTACTCCCTCCTTTCCCTCCTCCTCCCTCCTTCCGCCTCTTTCTTCCTTAAGCCATCAGGGTCTTGCTAGGCTACTCAGGCTGGCCCTATACTCCTGGACTCAAARGATCTCCTCCCTTACCCTCCCAAGTTGATGGGACAACAGTTACAGCACCAAGCACAGCTATCATTCTTTTTTAAAAAGCTTGATTGAAGTAAATGATATATAACCCCCTCTCCGCTCACACACCACATTAAGTGCATATATTTTGACAACCTTGGGTGGGCTCTCATAGTTTTAGTATTTTTTTTGGCCACCTAAAATAGGAGTTTCTAGAATTCTTCATTATCACACTTAAGTACAATTGATCTTAGTTTTCAGATAAAGAAAATGGGACTGGATTTCAAATTATAACTTTGAATATAACTTTGAATAAAATTTCAAATAATTCAAAAGTAGGCAGCATAGTGTTTAGCAGCGTGGGCAGCAGCAAGGTTAGGGGCTTTGGGATCACAATGCCAAATCTCAGTTCTCTCAGTTACCACATCTGGGTGAGCTAGTTTCCCCAGCATTACCCAGTACCACGACCTATAAAATGGGGATACAGTAGTGATTCTCTCATAGGATTGTTATGAAGATTAAGTCAAAGACCACATTCTAAAACTGGACACTGCATTTGATACACGATATGAGCTCAAGAAATGTTAGCTTTATTAACATGTGGGTCGAGTACAAGGCCAAGAAAATTACTTGTAGGTAATCATTTTAAACAAGCCTGTGTATGGGGCTTCTCTAACTTTCATGTGTTTTTGAATCTCTTGGGGCTCTTGAAAAATGCAGATTCTTATTCAGGGGGTCTGGGTGACATCTGAGAGTCAGCATTTCTAACAAGCTCTCAGGTGATTCTGAGGATGCCACTCTGTGGACTGCAATACCTGAGGTCACTGTGGCTGGTTGCTCCTCATTTGCCATCATGGGACTCCACAAGGAGAAAGGAGGAGGGGTAAGAAGGAAGGTGTGGAAGGGGTACATAGCTTTAATATGCTTCCTAGGTGTGTCTGGTGGTCTTTCTTTACTAAAAGCCTCTCCACAACTACAGAACCACTGGTTTGGCATTTCAATCTTTTATTCTTTTTTAATGTTTCCTTTTCTTAGTCTTTACTTTCTTCTTGACACTGCTGCTTTAGATTGAAAAAAATGGTATCAGCACCCGGTTCCCCAGTTAGTAAGTCTGAAGCATAGACTTTAATTTTATTGTAAGTAAGAGGACAATACATCTAGACAAGATTAGACAATAGCCTCTAACATTTCTCTTCTAAAATGTAGGGATCTGAAAATACCTTTAACATTTTCTTTAGTATTAACTGAAAACATCAACCAACCAGCAAGGAAGCAACTTGTGAAGTGTTAACTAACAGAACTTAAGAACACACTGGATGTGCTCCGAGCTGTTAAAGAGCCAATAGTTACACTACAGGAATGACTGGAACCCAATGAAGCAACCATGTYAGCCATTCCTCCTGGTTTGGGAGGCAGGACAAAAGGAGGGGCCATTTTTAAATGTCTGGCCTTTCTAAATACCTGCTCAGCTTCACCAACACTTCTCTCTCTGGCAAAGACCATTTTGATACTTTATGTGTCCTTAGGGCCTAGTAGTTCAGGTTGGTAGAATTCCCTCTGCAAGAAGCTGCTACTGTTGTTGATACATTTCACAGACATAAATTTTCACTTTCCAAAGCAGATAAGAAGAGCTTTGATTAATATAAGATGAGAAAATATCGCAAGAAACGGAGGGAGTGAATTAAGCCATCAGAAATTCTCTTTAAGAGCACACAGCCATAGATGCATTTTCCAATATTCTTCCTCTGCATTTAACCAGAGGACTTAGATCTATTGATCTAAATAAGATTTTATACCATTTGGCAAAGATCAAGGCAATTTATATGCATATAAAATTAATAAGAAACCACTTAGAAGTTGATCCAAATCAAAGGGTTATTAATTTCATGATTTAAAATTTTAAGCACATCTAGAGCTCGAACTTGAAATAGGAAAGAACCTCATGATCATGAAAAACAAAGCAAACTCATTGCTGACCCATTTTCTAAACTTTTATATGTCAGAAAAGTAATCAATTATGAGAATAGCAACACAATAGAAAAATATCGGGTATGAGAAGGACACTCTGACAATCACTAACAGATTCTAGACATTAATTTCTACTAAAGATGTTCAGATGATACACCTATTGAGGAACCAAACAAATCAAATAAAACCAAAAGCAAACCCTTCCCAATTGATCTGGAAGAATAATGTCAAACGAAGCAATCATGCAGTATTTGCACTATATAATCAATTCTCTGTTAGCAAAATATTTTGAAAGACAGTTTTAGTTTTCATATGCAAGGAAGTTTTCTCCCTCATGAACATCTGCTATGAAAAGAAATTAAACTTGGATAGCAAATCTTTAATGTTAAAGGTAGCAATTACATTCACTTATCATTTCCATGACCAATCTAAACAGATACTTAGTTTTCCATTGCCATTAGACTTAGAACTAGCTAATAAGATGTGGAAAATGTATAGCTCTTTAGAATATATATAGGCTGTGATTGAAACACTGTGTTTTAGAACTCTACTAGGATAATGATAGTTACTTGCCAAATCAGTTAAATATTACTTCAAATCTCTATAGGTACTCCCTGATTTAAGATGATTTTACATGTTAAGTGAWAGTTTTTTGGAAGCTAAAAATCATTATCACGAATAAGATAAAAAGTGATGGCTAAACTTAGGATATAAATTGAACATAATTTATCAGAGAGAGAGAGCATATTACTTGAATAAGCACCTACATGAAATGAAATGCAAGTCATGTGAATCCAATTACTTGGGGTAATTTGGAAAGAAAACTCTTAGAACTTTTTGAAGGAAAATCATATCAYTTTTCTGTGGTGATGCATTGAAACAAATCAAACTTCTCCAGTTTGATAAAGAACATAAGAAAAAGGTGTTCCTAATCTGGGCTTGGATACTTCTTCACATCTGCTGTTCCAGGCCCACATTTGACTATTGCCATAGGGTACCCTTGAAGTAGCTGCTTAATCTTTACATTGGATATACATTTCTAAGCAAAATTCTTAATTTACTAGCCTGCTTGGGAGCATCTTTGGAGTTCCCCATTTATGACTGGGTAGGAAAAGGAGTAGATAAACCCCAAGGGTGAAGCATAGGCAGCTGACACATGTAGATGTAATGGGACTCTGTTCCTGGAACAGATTTGACAGCAAAATACAACTCTCAGTTATCTGCTTGAATCGGGCACTCTGACAGCAAAGAAGAGCTATGTATCATGTATCACGCATTTAAACTGTGAGTTTCAAATTCCTCCTCAATTAGGTATTTTACCTGGGCTTCAATTAAGGAGCAGATTATACTTTCCTCATTTCCCTTCTAGAATAGGGCAGGATATTCATTGCTATTAATTAGCCATAGTGACAACAGTAATAAGTTGCAACAACAGCAATCTAAAACAAAAATTTAAACGCATACTCACACAATTCCATTCTAAACCAGGAAGAGGCAAAGAAAATTGAGAAACCTGAACAGTCCACAATTGGTACTTTTTTGAACATGACCCAGGGGAATAGAGAGAGAGGGAAGATTTAAGCTCAAGCTAAGGGAAGGGGAGCTATTCCAGAGCAACAGTGACCAAGAGAAAATCTGTTATCTGTTTTCTTCCAAGTAGGATGATGGGCAGTTGATTCTGTTTATGGTCAAAGAAGAGCAAAACAGAATTTAAGGCCTCAAGGATGAGAACAGAGAATAATGAAGTCAAGGGCAGGGGGAAGGAATAAAAGGACCCAGAATAGTAACAGTTTTCAAACTAATTATTACAAAATTTTAGCAAGTGAGGCTCCTCCCTGAACCCTAAGCTACGTTATAGGAACTGCCAACCATAATTTAGGAAATGGACACTTGGACCCATCACCGGACACTTAATGTTTGTCCAGATCAGAAAATTTAGCAGAGTAATTTTTTCAGACTTTTATTTTTTAAGCAACAACCAAGAAACTAAAAGACTCAAGAACTTTTATCACTGGAGGGGAACTTATGGGCAGAGACCTAATGTTCACAGTWGTTAAATGGCACTTAGCTAGTAGAACAGTGAGTGACCAGCTAGTTCCTAGTCCCTTCTCCCTGTGCTTCTCTGTCCTGCACTGCTGCCAGGAAGAGTGGTGGAGAGAAAGAGGGTCCCAGGCCAACATCAAGAGGCATCCATCACAGCCCAAGGGGGGATTATCTACATGGGGACTTTAGCTAGGGAAACACTACAGAAGATATATATATATATATAGTTGTTGTTTGTTTTTTTAATCCAGGGTATATACTAGGCAAGCAGTCTACCACTGAGCTATACTCCCAGATCCTGAGGTTTCAGTTTTAGAGAAGATCATAAAAGGGTTAAAGCTTGTGCTAAAATAAACACCTGGGGCCATAGACCCCTCTGGTGGTAATTGCCAAGAGAATATTGTTAAGGGTTGAGGAAGCACCTTCAAGAAGACACAAGTTGCTCAATATTTATAAACAAGAACCCTAGGGTGTGGGGCTTCTCGCCTCCCTCCCTGTTACTCTCTCTTCCCAGAATGACACAGGAAATAAATGTAGCCAAGTTCCAAAAGTGACCCCAGGGGAAAGCAAGCACCCAAACTTACACTGAGAAGCAAGTAGAGTTTTGATACTTAATGAGGTCATTAGCGAACAAAGATTAGGTAAAGAGATGGCCCCCAGGGAAGAGTCAATGGCCAGGTCTCTCTAAAGGCTGCCCAAAGAAAATGTGAGAGAGACACTCTGGGTTAGATTTGTTGAGCTCTTTGAAGACCATAGCAGGCTGACCACAGAAGGCTGCAGAAGTGGACATTGAGAATTGGAAAACGGGGTGTTAGATAAGTGGAGCATAGGACCCCGCAATAGGCCCTGTTCGGTCCTAGACACAGAAATCCGTCTTTCACTAAAATCCAGCCTTAGTTACAAAAGCGCACAGGTCAGGGTTGTGGGGGCGTGGAGAAGCCCTGCTCCCTCGCTCCCTATTTGATGAAGACTCTCCTGAGAGCACCAGCGGGTTGGCACCGGTGGGGACTGTGTCCAGGGACACTTACCCATGGTAGGGATTGCAGGGACAGGGGGAAGGCCARATGAGCGGTGCGGGGACATTGCCTGGGAAGAAGAGGGTTAGGTAGAGAACACTTAACTTTACCTTAACAGCGCACAACTTTCAAAAGGATCGCCCGCGGGGTCACGCAGGCCTGCCACTCAGCTCTCAGTTAACGACTAATCTAAACGCCTCCAAGAAAGTTGACTCCGTTGCTTCCCGTTTCTGCTGAATTCTAGCCTGTACTCGCCAAAGCTAGGTCAAAACCAAATGAAATTCTTTTGGAAAGCGCGAGGCAAATGAGCCSGTGCTGTGACCTCCGTTGCCAGAAGCCCCTCACCTGACCTGGGGACCCGCAGCTGGCGCCAGGGTGCGCGCTGAAAGGAAGTGTGGTGGCTCTCCTGGGTCTCTGGGAGCCTCCCAGCACGGCATCCGGAATTAACCCAGGGTGACATGAAACTTACCACTCCCGCCCCTGCAGTCCCCAAGCAGGCCAGGAGGTCAGGGGCACTCGCAGTCCGGGGCGCTGCGCCAAGTCCCGCGCGAGCTGGCTGCGAAGGTGCGGGGCTCCCACCGCCTCTGCGTCCGGACTGTGCGCCTTCACTCGCTGCGACAGCCGATGGCCATCGATGGATCCTCACCACGGCCGGGCAGAGCTGCCAGCTATGTACCCGTCCAGGCGTCTTGTCGCTGGCTGCTGCTTGGGGTCCAGCTATTTGGCTCTCTAATCAGCTGCGAAGAGTCCGCTCCAAATTTATAGCTAGGGGTGTTGTTGCTSTGTGGGTTCCAGAGACCAGACTGTTTTGCCTTCCCTCCTCCGCCCCGCCCCAGGAGACCCTCCCGGGCCAACCCCGCCCTCTCCAGATTCTGACGGCATCGGGGATGATGCCACAGGCGTCCCCTGTCATCTACCGCGATCAAGATCCCCGATCCGCTGGCGCACCTGCCCTGGAATCCAGGGTCTCAGGGTGAGGGGTCTCCAAGGGCTGGGGGTAAACTCGGTTTCCACGGAGATAAATATTCATTCTCTCTCTGTCTGTCTGTCTCTCTCTCTCTCTCTCTCTCTCTTTCTCTCCCATCTTGGAAAATTGTTAAGGAAGAATTAGGGAACTTCCTTGTCTTTCCTGTGAGTAACTCAAAATTTGACAATACTGGTGTGGATCATGGATCACAGAGATTTATTTCAGAGTTATAAAATGAAACGGTGGATTTTCATTTCCTCATTGGACACACTCCCTGAGTAGCATGTTTTAATATAAAAATGGACAAAGTTATTAAATGAAATATCACCAAATATTTGCCAACAAGTTAATATCAAGTCTTCACAAAGTCTTACAAAAAATAAATAAATAAAAAAGAAGAGTAAGGAATATATCCTATTGTATGTCATGAGGGCAGTACTACTCTTGGACCCAAACCAGATAAAGACATCACAACAAATAAAATGCTACAGGCTCTTATCTTTTATGGGTACAAACTTAAAAATCCTCTATGAAATACTGAGAATTAGAATTCAGTAATATTATACCAAGTGAGATTTATTCCAGGAAAGAAAGATTAGTTTACCAAAAATGAATTAGTATGATAAACCATATCAATCAATAAAGGACAAAACCGGTATCATCATATCAATAAGATAAAATAAGAAAGCACTTTTGCTTAGTGCCTTGCTGCTGCTGAGGCTGACTTTGAACTCAATCCTCCTGCCTCAGCCTCCCGCAGCATTGCTGGGATTACAGGCATGTGCTATGATAAGCAGAGTGGTTAGGCAAAAAAAAAAAAAAAAAAAAAAAAAAGACATGAAAGGCATTCAGATAAGAAAGAAAGCAAAATTATTTGTGTTTGTACATGACATGATGTTGCAATTAGAAAACTCTAAGCAACCAAGAAAACAAAACAAAACAGAAAAATAGCCATGACTTTAGAGCTAATAAATAAGCAAGGTTTCAGAATATAAGATCAATACAGAAAAATCAGTGGTATTTCTATACACTAGCAATGAACAATCAAAAATGAAATAAAGGAAACAATCCCATTTATAATAGACCAAGAGAATAAAAGTRCTTAGGAATAAATTTAACAAAAAGGATAGAAATAGCTGGGGATATAGCTCAGTGGTACATAGTGAACTTACATACACATTGAACATAGGCAAGGGCCTAAATTCAGTCCCAATTCTGAACAACAACAACAACAATAACACACAATGTACAAAATATGTACCTCATACCATGTATGAAAAGCATTGTTGAAACAGATAATATTAGATCTAAATAAATGGAAATGACATTCCATTTTCACATATTGGAAGATTTAATATTATAAAAGGGTGGTTACCTCAAGTAATCTACACAATCCAAAACAAAATTTTTAGTTTTTCATTTTTTAATTTTTTTTACAGAAATTAGCAAGGTTGTCCTAAAATTCATGGGATAGTGCAAGCCACACAGAAAAGTGAAAATAATTCTGAATAAAGAACAAATTTAGAGGACTCACACTTCCCAGCTTCAGAGTTCACTACAAAGCTACAATAACCAACCAGTGTTGGTACTGACATTGGGATCTAGACATTAAAAAAAATATATAGAATCGAGCACATAAACTAACATTAAATAGCAGAATTTAAAAAATAGTGGTATCAGAACAACTGAAAGAATGAAATTCTTTGAAAGAATGAAGGTAGATCTCTTGCAACATACACAAAAATGAATTCAAAGTGGATCATAGACCTAAATGTAAGAACTAAAATTATAAACTCTTAATAGAAAGCATAGGAATAAATCTTTGTGACCTTGGATTATGCTAGTCTTTTCAGATATACAGCAAAAACTATATCTTGATTTAATGATGGTTGAGAAGTAAGTGTAAGAAACAGAAGGAAAATAGGCGCTGGGTTTCATCAATACTAAAAGCTTCTGTACTTCAATAGTTAATAACAAAGTTCAAAGGAAAAACCCACAGAATATAAGAAAATATTTGCAAATAATACATCTGATAAGAACTTGCATTCAGAACATACAAAAATTTTTTCAACTCAATAGTAGCAACAACATAAATAATCAGTAGAAAGATGTGTAAAAACCTGATTAGACATTTCTCCAAAGAAGAAGGATAAAAGGACAACGAGCACATGAAAAGACTCARTATCATTAGCCATCAGAACAATGAGATCAAAACTACAATGAGATACCACTTCGTGCCAACTGGGATGGCTAAAGATAATAATGAGTACTTGGCAGGATGTGGAGAAATTGGAGCTCACATATACTGTTGGCGGGAATCAAAAATGGTGTAGCCGCTTTGGAAAACACTTTGACAATCTCTCAAAGTTTAAGCACAGAGTTGCCGTATTGCTCAGCAATTCCATTACGACAGAAATACCCATGAGAAATGAAATTGTAAGCCTTCACAAAAACATACATATGAAAATTCATAGCACCATTCTTCATAATAGCCCCAAGGCAGAAACTAATCAGAATAGACAAAATGTGAAATGTCCATACAACAGAATTTTACTTGGCGATAAAAGATGTAAGTACTTGTTAGGACCTGGATGAACCTTGAAAACATCRCCCTAAATCAAAGAAACCGGTCACAAAAGACTACCATGTGAATGATTCCATGTAGGTGAAATGTCCAGGAAAGGCATTTTGTAGAATGGARATGATTTTAATGCATGTGTAGATTAGAATTTTGTTTGCCTAGGACTGAGGATGAGAGGGAAGGAGGGAATGGTGATGACTGCTAGTGAGTTCAGGGTTTCTTCTTGAGGTGATGAAAATATGTTAGGTTTTGTGGTGGATGCACAATTTAACAAATAGACTAAAACCCTTTGAACTGTACACTTTGAATGGCTGGATTGTATGTGGACTACACATGAACAAAAATTTTTACAAATGTAAACTATGAAATCTGTGTAGAGAAGTCAAGGCATGGATTTCTGACTTTGGTATCTTGCTTCCAAGTTTCTGCAGACAGCAGGGGAGCTTAGTCCCAGCCACCACTCCTTCTCTGCAATGGCAGACAACTCTAATGATTGAACATATAATGAACACAGATTTCTGCAGTAAGACTGGGTCATAATGCAAAGCTGAGGAAGTCATAATCCCTGGGCCCTAGCGGTGCTGAACCAGGAAGGGACAGCATTATCTTCTCCACTAGACTGAGCCTCTGGGACAGGGYTGGGCTTGAACAGTTTATTCCTTTGGCATCTAGCACAGTGTAAGACTACCTCACCCCCAGGGCATGGTAAGGCAAGGGACTTTCAGAGAGAGCAGTTTKAAGATAAAAGAGAAAGGGTAAGGTACAGTGAGATTCTAGAACTTTTTGTAGGATTCTGGCTACTTTTCTTCTTCTTTCCTTCAGCCCCGATTCCCAAGCTTGAGCAGCTCCTGTTTTAAATCGACAACACTGCCTTGGAGGTGACACCCCGTGCCTATCAGCAGTCAAAAATGTGTATGGCTGATAATAAYTTTTTATGTTATGTAACACCTTCCTGTGACTAACAGTTTTCTCTTGCCTCTCCTGACATATTTATTTAGCAAATGTTTATTGAACTTYTTTGTATTTGCTGCTCTGCTAAGTGATGGGAAAACAGATAAAAACTTCGGTTTTATCTTCCCCTTGCAGGAGGAGTGGGCTGGAGGAGGAAGCCTGGGAACCCCTGGTTGGGTGGTTCATGTACCAGACTGTGGGTGGAGAGAAAAGACCCTGAATATCTACCTCTTCTGTTTGGTGTCAAGCTTCTCCTAAGTATGCATTTATTGTTCTGCTCAAGGCTCACAGACCCTCTTGGAGACTTACCTCAGAGCATCAGAGATGTTTGGGACGGTTTACCAATACGGCTTTTGTAGAAAAGCCAGAAGTGGATGACAAGCAGCATTCAGTGTCTGAGGATGTAAATAGGAAATGTCTCTGTGGTCATGGTCTAAGTTCCAGGAGTGGTTGTATTTTTGAATCTATTTAATTCTGTGAATCATTAACCATAGTCACTCCTGCACTAAATTCCAACTTAGTTTGAGAACTGATTATAGTTTTGAGAGCTGGAGATTTCTTAGAGAGTTAGTGCTGCATTGGAGGAATCTTCCAAAAGGGTGGGGTTTGTTCCCAGGGATATTATGGCAACAAAAGGAAACAGATGAGAAAGAAAAGCTTCCAAGAAATCAGTAGAGTAGCATCATCATTACTGTGATGAATTGGCCCAAACAAAGCTGTAGCTAAAACTCTGGGTTTTTCTATAAGTCAAGCATATCTAATCTGAAAATCCAGAATCTGAAATGCTCCAAAATCTGATACTTTTTGATGTGATAATACATGGAATTTCCTCAACATGAAACTTTCATGTGCAAAAGGTATAAAAATCKTGTCTAGAATTATGTTCTAGCTAGGTGAGGTGCATATGAGATATAAATGAATTTCCTGTTCAGATTTGAGTCTCATCCCCAAGATATTTCATTATGAATATAAAATATTCCAAAATTCAAACATTGGAAACACTTCTGGTCCAAACATTTCAGATAAGGGACACTCAAGCTATATAATTATAGATCAAT